CATTTTTTGTTAAGTTTACAATACTATTTCATAATCAAATACTAATTTAATCTCAATAAAACACATACAATTTGAAAGGTTTTTCAGCATTACTGCACTTTTTTAATAAAAAAAAAATCAGAAATGGAGTGGGTGAACGGTAACAAGATAAATGCATGTTAAGGAATTCTTTCTCAATCTGCATTTTTCACATTAAACCTTTACAAGAAAATCAGGGGGGAAACCTGTAAGCCACAAAACATGTATATAAATGTTTTAATTTCAATTCTGCCTTTTCTCTTGATGCCACATAATACCTTCACATATTAACATGTTATTTAATATTTTTAATGGAGTGCAGATTCTGATATGAATAACAAAAAGCTCATATAAAAACAAGCTTAATGTGTAGATGTAAATGATTAAGCTAATTAATGGTAGATACATATCTAAGAACTTTTGTTTAAATTAGAAAATATGTGTCATAAGGTTATAATAATATAAATTATATTACATTAAAAATAGTATAAATTAAACTAATTTTATTACTGTTCTCTTGAGGGCCTCCTGAGCAACTTGTTCAGAATTATTTATTATCATCTCACTGATCTTTTGAAGGCACACTCTTGATTTGGCCCTATGAATACAGCTGTACTGGCATGTGCTTTGTGTGCACAGCAACAAGCCGTACTGGAAACAAGTTATATGTTTTGCTGCTGTGAACATTCAATGAACTGCAAGCACATTCTGAAGGCATGGGTCAAATCATTGCTCAATCTAAAGATTTTTGTGACTACAATATGAAATTTGACACAATTTTCTTATGTTTATGAGCTGAGATGTCACTAAATGCATTCTTTTGAGAATCTATTTAAATATGAGAAAGCTTTGAGGGGTTGGGCAAACCCAGATCAAATGTAAATTACCCATATTGTTTTAGATTTAGATGGTCTTTCCATGTCTGTCTGTCTACTTAAAGACACTGAAAATCATACAAGAGTGTAGTAATTGTTGTAAAATCTAAAGAAAACCCAAGCTATATGCTGTTTTTATTAAGACTGAACTTTGATCAGTGTTGTTGAACCAAATATTGTGATATCAGAGGTTTTTACTACTATTTAGTGATTTTCAATACATTTAATTGATATTACTGTTTGATTAATTCTCCCTGCTGGAGAAGTTGTGCATGTCCGCTGAATGGGTTTAACCCTCAGGCTTGACAATGACATAGCATTTGTTATTATGTGCATCAGTTTTAGATTTTGAGTTTAAGGTTTATTCTTTGAATTACAATCACTGGGACTTCTGCATGGCAGCAGTAGTTCTCTGGGACTGAAGCATCATTTCTAGCAGATTAGAGTTTCTTTTGAAATTCTCTCATTTTTTATTTTATTGCACTTCTTCTTGCACTTCGTCTTGCCCAACTTCACTTTCACAAACAAAAAGATTCTAGTGAGAATTTAATTATCTTTTTAGTTAATCCAATCACAAATTTCCTTGAACATAAATATTTGCTTTTCCCTGTGTTGCAAAGATATGGCAACACAGCCAATAAGCAATAGTGACAGGAAAGTTGTTATTATCAGAATTTCAGTTGCAATTTACAGCCCTTTGTTGAGTACCAGAATACAATTTGGATGATGTTGTTCCAATTTTAAATTTCCATCTCTTACGAAATCTTAATTTTGGTTCAAGAGACTTCGTGCTTTATCTACTCTGCTGCTATCATGTCAGCAATTTGTCAATTCGTGTGGTTTCGTCTAATTCTTGAGCCCCACCGGATTTCTACGGTCTCCGGTCTAACATGAGTATTCCGACTCATTCTACAAATGTGTCTATATAGGGTGCGTCTAAGCTTTCCCTCAACACTTCTAAGAAAGGAAATTAAGAATTGACTTATTACAGCAGCTGGAGAAAGGGAAGGAGAAGCTCAGACCTCTTTCTGGAGCACTTGCCAAAGAGAAAAGACCCTTGCCAACAGGAGACGGGTGACCACAGAGGGAACGTCACCACTTTGTAAGGTCCACCCACTTGGCCCAACGACTGAATCCCATGGCGTGGGCGAAGGTATAATGATTGTGGAGGTCTTTTACTTGCGCTTCTGCAAAAATCATCTTCATTTAATACAATTTTGGTTTCTAATTTTATTCTGACTCCGATTGTAAATTACTTCTAATTTTACAATGTTTCCGATATAACGGCTGATCATGAGATTAGTTTTAGAATTTAATTTAGATATTTGATTATTCTGGGTATCCCATACTTTCAATTATTCGTTCATTAGGGACCAGGTATCACACAGAGAACTTACGCTGGCCGGTTGCAGTCTCACAGACACAAACTCGTCAGATCTGATCTTAGACAGAGGATGCAGGGTGAATATCTACTTTTAAGGCGGCCGTGCTCTGCTTGCTCATAACAAAAAGCATAGTTTTTGTATATTCACGAAAACTGCAACTTACTAAGGCAGTGATAGTCAGAAATCGAAAAGGTCTCAAATGATGTGCCCCATGCTCCATTAATTGAGCCTTCTCTATGATCTATCCTGAACACAGATTTGCGGTAATACCAGACTCCACTTTAATCTACTAGAAATAATGATTTAAGAATAATGCAGATTAAATTAAGAATCACATTTATTGTTTGCCAGGCAGTATTAAACATCAATTAAAATAATTAAAAATAATACATTGTACACAACTGTTTAGCATAAAATATAAAATACAGTTCAAAACATATATAAAAAAAATCGTTTCAAGGAGTCAGCATGCCTGACAATAGAGACACAGTCTACTGAATACAGATGCTTCCCTGAGTGGTTTGCCAAATCCCTTTAAATACCCCAAACCTAACAAAAGGACTATAAACATTTAGCACCAAAAAATGTATGCAACTTTTTTTTGGACCTTTTTCTCGTGCCCAAAAAGTCACACACCTAGTGTTGGGGATGAAAGCAAATAGTTATCAATGATCTTTATTGGGGTTTCTCCCACATCAGAAGAACAGGTTTTGTTTTCTTTATTCTTCCCTGTTCTGTTGATGTGAGAGTGAAAACACCTTACCAGTCGCACCTGAAGTATTTATAATGACCACACATAAAACAGCTTGAAACAATAGATTTGTGAAATTTGCATGACTGACTGAGACCCGAGGGGAAGGAGAGGGTGTGAGGAGTCAGGAACTCAGCATGGGGGGAAGAGATGAGATTGGGCCAGCTGTTGTCCTGTGCTCTTTCTCGTAGATCCTCCCTTCAGATTAGTGAATTTTATTGTTTTATTACAGGATGGGAATCTTGAATTCAGTTTTGGTAAAAACCCATCCTTACACCTGTTCATCATTTAAGGTGAATACAGATTATTATATTAAAACTGCGCCAGAAACATATAAATGTCTCAGTACTATTATCACATACCTCTCATGTTGCAGACATCTCTGGTCTCTACATTTTCACTTTAAATAGGAGCTCAATACAGCACTGAATTCCATACAAGAGAAATGTAAACAGAGAAATGAAAGAGTTCCTCAATGAAAACTTCTCAACTCCTCAATGAAAGGGGATCACATCAGGTTGAGGACTGATTCTTCTGACAGCTGAACTGCTTTGACATCATTACACGCTCCTTTATATTGAGTAGAAATGTTAAATGGGTGCATTTATTTAGATAGTATACAATGATTATGTAAATTCTTGGCAAAAGACACATTCTTGAAAGACAAATAATATTCTTTATAATGGTTTTCAATGGGAAAACACAACGTGAAACTTTGCTCATTGGATTCTTATTCTGGGTTCATCTGCTTGTCTATAAATAGTATACATCATCAATGAACTATATACTGAATTTGTTCTTTTATTATCACTGTCTTATTATATTAGTACTAACTGCCCACTGATCCGGGTGTGTGTTCATGGTGTGTATTCACTGCTCACTGCTGTGTGTGCACTTGAGTGTGATAAATGCAGAGCACAAATTCTGAGTATGGGACACCATACTTGGCCTCACGTCACTTTCACTTGACTTGTACAAACATGGTAAAATAGCTTGATTTCAAATGAGGGGGAACAACCATTTGGCAGGAGTTTGCAATTTCACCACGGTGGAAAGAAGGTCCATCCCAGCTAACAAATGTTTGGTTCAATTTTTTTTTTCCAAACATTCAACTTCAGTGATGGGAATGTGAAAATATAAATGTGTCTTAATGTTAGTGGAACATTCTTTTTTAAGATTAGTATGATGTTTGTAAGGTCTCTGTCTTGTGAAACAGGCCCCCATAAGCTATGGATTCACCACGTGAATATCATGAGGTATCTATACCAATCACCCCCAGCACATGACTCCAATATTCTGGGTCGATTTCCTGCCAGTCATGTCGTCATCTACTCAGAGGAGTGATTAAAGATTGATCCAATCAAGAGACAACAAAGCTTTCTTTGTATCAAGGACTGAAATGTCAACTCTCATTCTAATAATCTGTTTGTGTGTATGTGTGTTTTAGCGTAGTTTTGATGTATTCTAGAGTAGCCAATTAAATTCGTGTTTCATTTATGAGGAATTATTGTCTGGTGTTGTGATCTCTCAAAGTCAAGATTCTTGCCAAAGATCCCTTGCTACCTAGCTCGTAGCTTACTTATAAATTGCTCTTGTTTTTTTTTTTCTTTCCTTAACTTTATATCATGGCTTGTGGTGGCATGTGCCTGAGGAGTTGGATCTCTGCAGAATGCAAGAAGTCTTCTGAAATGCATGAAGAAAGCTAAACATCTTATACACAGTGCCTACGTGACAGGAAAATATCAAATTATTTGTATTATGTTAAATTTATCTTTCAATAATTCAAGTCTGTACTCTGAAGATACAAGCATACATAGAAATGGCTTAATATAACACAAACATATGATTAAATGACATATTTAGGAAAATTGTTAAAGGATAAATGAATTATTTAAAAAAATAAAAGGAGTAAAAATGAATACAAATTTGAAAATAAAACAACAGAAATGTACTATTGCTCTCTTGAAACATTGCAATTAAGAATGGAAAAGCATATTTGTACTGTCTGAATTGTTCACTATCCTTTCTATAGTGCACTATGTTCCATTCACTATATGGAAAATAATGTAAACAAGTGCCTTATTTAAGAAACAGCTTTGGAGTTTTATAATGTAGGGGGAATTGTATGTTTACATTTTAGATTGTTCTTTGAATCAGTGGTATAAAACGGGGTTTAAGTCTTATCTGTTCCATTAATTTGTAACAGTCAATTTTTTCAAACTCTGAATAGCATCTTGTTTTTTGTTCATTCTCCATTCAGGTGGAATCTCACCATCACCCTTGAATTTTTTATTATAACGATTTTCCAGGTTTTTCTGGAATGTGCACACAAACCACTTCCAGTACGGCAGTCCATGAGGGTCAGGGGTGATGTCCCACTTTGCATAAACTCCTCCTGCACTTCTGTAGTCATTGCAAGGAAACCACTTATCTGAAAACCTAAATTGTTTTCTACTTGTCACTAAAGTTGTGCAAAAATCAGCACAGAGATCATCTGTTTGATAGTAAGTCCATCCTTTAATTCCATTCACTCTGTGGAAAGGAACACTGTGATATCCAGGATGGTTTTCTATGATGCTGGTGCAGAAGGCTCCACAGAATGGACACTGAACCCAACAGCACTGACAGAAATGAGAAAACAGAAGCTCATCTGGTCTGACCTTTAAGTCCAGTTTTTCATTAAAAGTATTTGTGTTGAAATTACTGACAGACATTATCTCAGGAAGTTCATTTCTCATCACATCTTCTAGGAGTCTGAAATCAACATCATCATGTTTGACTCCACTGAGGTCTTTTTCAGAGAAGATCAGCTCATCTGAGAGCTGCTGTGTGAAACTCTTCAACCACAAACCTGCATCTCCCCTCTTCACTTGAACATGTGCTGCTTTCATGATCTTCTGCTGCAGGAGTTCAATGTTCTCCTTCATCTTGGGTAAAACACTGACACTGAACTTATCAGTGATGTACTGACTGACTTCTTCTGTAATGAAATTCTTGAAGTGATCTCTGGGATTATGGATGTAGTTCATGTATTTGTTAAAATCCTCCTCTTCTGCCAGTGTCTCCAGGATGTGCTTCTCCAGATTTGATCGGTTTCCTTTCAGTGATGCACATTCTGTTCTCATTTCATTTGCCAGCTCTCTAGCAGTCTTCTTGTAGAGACTCTGCTCAATGGGCTCTTTAAGTTTCTGACAGATGATCTCACCAAAAATGGCAGCTGATGTTGCTCCATCACAGTACTTCTGGAAAATACTATAGTACTCTTCTCTCTTTTTCTCAACGTATACGACAGGATCATTGGCTTCTCTAAACCTCCTGTGTTGGTCAGTGATCACCTTGTTTGCTCTCTCACAGATGGAAAGAACCAAATCCATGAAGAATTCATTCTTGAACACATATTTCACTCGTCCTTCCTCATGTTCTACAACTCTCGCCTTGATGTAACCTGTGAGTTGTTGAATTAAGCTTTTGTTGTAGCCCACCTTTGAAATGTTAAATGACTGAATCTCTCTGTCTGTCTGCTGAACAACATCTCTGACAAATGATTTTATTTGGGTTTCATCCTCATTAGATAGAGATAGAGGATCAAAACCAAGCGCCTCTTTAGCTGATCTGACAACATTTTTAACAAATACACTGGATTTTTTTACCTGTACATATTCAGAATAACTCGCAGTGACAATAGTGTTGTACTCACTGCTCTCCCTCCAGTGATCTACAGAAACACTTCCATAGACGTCCCTGAGGATCTCTCTCACATCTCTCATTATGTCAATGTCTTTGATTGGAGGGGTGTCTGTGATGATCTTCTTTATCCACTGTTCCCAAAAGGAATCAAACTCTTTCTTCAATGTTTCTTTATCATTCGTTTTATATTTGAGCTTTAAGGCAAGTTCTTTGCTCTTTTCAAAGAGAGTGTCTTCACGATGTGTCCTCTGAGCATCAATCTCTTTCTTCAAGACTCGCTGCTGAAGAACCTCATTTAGTTTCTTCTTTGTGTCCCTCACAATGTTTCCATGAACATCTTTGATTTTGATTTTAAATGATGTTTTCCACTGAATCAGTATATCTTTATCTTTGTCTTTCTCAAAGAATTCTGACATTGATTTTTCGACTTCTACACTTGTCTTCTTCAGTTCTGTTTGAAGATAAATTTCCTCAACCTCATGCATTACTTCATTTTCAATTTTGTTGTGTAGTTTGTTCTCAGTCTCCATCATGGCACTGCGAAGACTCCAGGACCATTTGCTGTATTCGGTCTCCAGTTTCCTGTAGGCTGAAATCTCCAGAGAATTCCTGAAGCTGAAGACGAATCGTTCACTCAGTAAAGCCTCCCAAAGATCTTCAATACGGACTGTTAAGTCTTTCAGCATAATTCCATGTGATTTTGCGGCATGAGAAAGAATAGATTCCTTTAGTTCTTGAATGTTCTCACAGTAGTTTGGGTTTGGTGGTGCCATTGGTGGGCTGCCCTCCCAGAGCTGAGCAAAATACTTCACATCATTTTGAACATCAAATCTAATGACATCACTGAAACATTCAGCATCACAGACTTCATCTTTAGCAGCAAGTTTTGTCATCTCCAGTGTCTCCTGCAGTCGTCTCCTCCCCTCCTTGTTTTTCTCTCCAGCGGTGACGTCTGAAACATTCTGATGCACAAACACACAGCTGGGAGTCAAATTTACCTTCTTCATCCTCATGAAGGCCTGAACAACAATCTGAAGAATGTCCTGCATCTCAGATGGGTTTTCTCCCAAGATGTTTATCAAGGTCAGATTTCCAATTCCAACAACAAATGTAGCCAATTCATTGTCATGATCTCTTGTAGATCTTCCAGACAGTTCTAGAGCACGAAGACCCTCAGTATCAACAACCAGAATATAGTCAATCTTCATCTGTGTTTTCATCTCGTCTGACTCACTGTTCATCTGTGTTTTCATCTCGTCTGAGACTCTGACCAGCTGCATGAAAGCTCCTCGGGTGCACCTGCCCGCACTAACGGCAAACTGGAGTCCAAACATGGCATTCAGCATGGTGGATTTTCCAGAGCTCTGAATCCCTAAAACTGACAGCACAAAGACTCTCTGGTCTCCCAGTTTCTGGATGAGTTGATCTAGAACAGAAGAGATCCACACCAGAGGAACATGAGCAGCATCTCCATCCATCAGCTCCAGTGGAAATCCAGAAATCATCATCTCTGCTGCAAGACTCGAGAGAGAAGAGAAGTGAATCTGCAGGTCTTTCTTGTTCTTCTTCACAGATGAACATGATTCATAGATCTGACCGATCTCCCTCATGATGTGCTCCACACCAAAGATTGCAGCTTGAAGCTCATCAGATATCTTCTCAAGTTCAGTTTGTTTAGCTTTATGTTGTTCAGATTTATTACTGCTGTCTTTTAGTTTCAAAACTGCTGACCATGTTTCATCATATTTGTGAAGAAGAGCAGAAAGGTCACTTGACGTATGTTCATCCAACAGGATTCTGAGCCATTTGAGGAAAAACATCTTTTCATGTTCATTATGTAAGTTCATTTCTTTATTAAAGAGCATCATAAACTCACTCATGTCAGATTCATGCTGTTTTTCACGGATTTCATTCATTTTTATTTTTATTTTACTTATTTCCATTTTTATTTCTTCTCCTTGAAGTCGATGTAGTTCTTTGTTCTTCTGACTCCACTGATGCCACAGTTTCCCCTGATGAGGCATAAATGATTCTTTGATTTCTGTCAGATGTTTCTTCTTCAGTGAATTCATCATCTGCTGTGCTGCTGCTCTTCCTCTCCTGCAGTCATCATCATCTTCCTCATCTACTCTGATATCTGAGTGTTGAGACACATCTTCAAGTCTGAAAGTGGAAGATGATTCCGAGAGACAATCATTTATAGTTTTTATGAGTTCTTTAGATACATCCGACTGATTTCTGTATTTCAGACCGATTTTGAATTTTCTTTTCTTCATCTTCATTACAGTTGATTGATCCTCAGTAAGAAGACAAATGAGTGGCTTTTTGTTTCCAAACAGGTTATTCATCATTGCTGCACTTCTGTCATTCCCTTACCGAGCCTGTTTAAGTTTTCATAGTTTTCTTAGTCTAGTCTTAGTCTTGCCTTGTCTGTTTTCCTGGGGCCGTATGTATAAAGCAGCTCAGAGTAAAATTTTAGTCCTAAGTGTGTCAAAATTCTAAGAATGACGTAATTTTACTCTTATTCCTAGACTTAAGAATAAGAGTGATTCATAAAGGTTCCTAAGTGTTAAAAGAGGTCTCAGCTCCTAAATTATTTAAGAGAGCTGGAGAGGTCTCCTAACCTATTTAGGAGTAATACGATGGCAGCAAAGAGGAGACGACAAACACTTTTCAGCAAAAATATATTGGACTTATATGATAATATGGAGTTGATAAAGATACAAACTTAATTGTAAAGATTAAAAAGAAAAATATTTGGTAACTGATAAAGTAACAAAATTAATAACCTCTTCCACTCAACAAGTCAATGCTCTAACAGCAGATAATTTTTTTTGGCTGTAAAATTGGAAAAATGCAGCAATGCACCGGTGATGACACAGTAAGCAGGTTCTTACATATTGTGGCACTAACCCCACCAAACACAACAGTG